ATCTATCAATCAATCAATCAATTAGCTTATAAAGCGCTATTTCCGCGATGTTCAACAGCGCTCCTCAATGAATTTTGAAAACAGATGGGTCTTGAGATCCGCTCTGAACTTCGCAAGTGATGGAGAAGTAGTCAGAGAAGTAGGTAGAGAGTTCCAGAGAAAAGGACCAGAAAAAGCAAAAGCAGATTTGGCAAAAGAGTGTTTAACACGAGTTAAGAAAAAGCGAGAAGAAGAAGACGATCGTAAACCGGGGCGTTTAGGTTCAATTAATATATCTGATAAATACTTAGGAAATAATTTAGATTGAGACTTATACATGAACGTGCAAATTTTAAAAATTATTCTATATTTTATAGGTAGCCAGTGCAAGAGTACAAGATATGGAGATATATGAGAAAAGAAAGGGACACGAGCAACTAGACGAGCAGCAGAGTTAAAAGCTTTACTTAAAAGATAGAGTATAGAGTCAAGAAGACCATAGTAGAGCAAGTTACAAAAATCAATCCTAGATAAGACTAACGAAGTAACACAAAGGAGAAGAGTAGGATCATCAAGAAAAGGCAAAAGTTTTTTTATCCTACGTAGATGAAAGTAAGAGCTTCTAGCAACACTATTAATCTGAGAAGAGAGAGACATAGTAGAATCAAAGATAATACCTAGACTACGAAACTTATGAGAGACATCAAGAATTTTAGAATCAGGTAAGATAATAGGAGGAATAGTAATAGAGTGTTTAGATTTATTAAAACAAATTAATTCAAACTTAGAAGGATTAAGTTTAAGACTCATAGAGTCAGACCAAGCGATAATTGAAGAAAGACAGAGATAAATTATGAAGAACACTATTGAGATTAGATGGAGGAAAAGAAGTATAAATGTAAGAATCATCAGCATATAGTTGACTAAAGATAAATTATTAATAATACGAGGTAGTTCAGATGTATAGAGTATAAATAGAAGAGGGCCAAGGATAGAACCCTGAGGTACCCCGAAAGTAAGAGTAGAGGAGTTAGAAGTAGAATTATTGAGAACAACAGAAGAAAAACGATTACAGAGATAAGAAGAAAACCAAGATAGACAAGAATCAGTAATATTAAAAGAAAGATGCAGCAGTCTCTAGAGAATAGTATGGTCAACAGTATCAAAAGCTGAGGAAAAGTCAAGAGCAAGAAGAAGAGTAAGATTACTATTGTCACTAGAGAGAAGGATATCATTGTATATTTTAAGTAAAGAAGTTTCAGTACTGTGAGAAGGTCTGAAACCAGATTGAGATACAGGTAGCAAAGAGTTAAAGTCTAAATAGGATGACAGTTGATTAAAAACAACTTTTTCTATTATTTTAGAGATGAAAGTAATATTAGTTACAGGTCTATAATTAGATAAAGAGGTAGGATCTAGGGATGAGTTTTTAAGAATAGGAATAACAATAGAATTCTTATAAGAAGTAGGAAATTTAGAGGTGGAAAGAGATAAATTAACTAATTTGAGAATGATTGGATAAAATATTGAAGAAAATTCTTTAAGTAAATTAGAAGGAAGTAGATCTAGAGAACAGGTTGTAGACGACATAGAAACGACGCGAAATCATACCGTCCTATATCTTTTTTATGTCCGGCAGCTAAAGTATTTGAAAAATGCATCCTGCCGATCATCTCGAATCACCTAACCTTAGCGAGCCATCAGCATGGTTTTCGCCCACTTCATTCTACAACAACAGCTCTCACCACGATGGTCACCGACATCGCAAACGGCCTAAATCAGAAAAGGCCAGCTCACCGAACAATCTTAACAGCATTGGACCTCACAAAGGCCTTCGATACCGTTAACCATCGCATCCTAATCTCCGACCTCATGTCAGCATCGCTTACACGGTCAATTGTCCGCTAGTTGTCAAACTATCTGCATTGACGCTCTGCATCAACAGAGTTCCGTCGACAATTTTCAAAACAACGCACCATCCGCTCAGGAGTGCCTCAAGGTTCTGTATTGTCACCAACTCTGTTTAACTACTACGTCTCCAAAATACCAAACCCTCCTCCAGACGACAAAGTTATCTCTTATGCAGACGATTTTTCAATCTACACTACAGGTCCGAATGCAGATGATTTGACACTTCGGCTCAATTGCTACCTTCCGAAGCTTTACGACTTCTTCAATAGCAGAAACATGGAGATTTCCACCTACAAGTCCACAGTCACCCTCTTCACCACTCACACTTCACAGTATCACTATCATCCAGCAATAAAAATAAATAACAGTTTATTACCACTCGAACATAATCGAAAAATATTAGGCCTTACGTTAGACACGATGCTGTCCTTCTCACAACACCATAAAGAAACAGCATCCAAGGCCTCAATAAGAAATAATATTTTAAAGGCACTAAGTGGTACAACCTATGGCCAGGACAAGGAAACATTTTTACAGATCTACAAAACCATCGATCTCCAACAATCGAGTATGCCTGTCCTGCCTGGGCATCACTGACATCAGACTCAAGCTTCTCACGTCTTCAACGCTCCCAGAATGCCGCCCTACGTCTGATTACAGGTTGCCATATGATCGCCTCAGAACGGCACCTTCATTCAGAATGTCAGATGTTAACGGTAAGACAGCATTCGGAGCTAATAGCATCACAATTCCTACTCCTATGCCATAACCCTAGCCACCCGTGCCATCATATCATCACGCAACAACACCCTCACCGCAACATAAAGACCACCCTCCCCTCCAAATGGGCTTCAACAACTCATGCGATTCTACCAACAACCATAAATAGCGTTTCTCTAAAAACACTACACAGTAGCACCATCAAAGCCGCCACAGAGACGTATCAGTCGCCGTTGCTGTTGCTTGACGGATGGCCTCCACCTACACCAAAAATAGATCCAAACAGAAGAATCACTTCCCAGGGCAATCAGACGGACCCTAGCCCTACTCCGTTCTGGCCATAGTATTCTTCTAAACAGCTACAAAAACAGAATCGTCAGTGAGCACCTCAACATCTGTCTTTTCTGCAACAATCATACAGATGATGTACCGCATCTGTTTAGCTGTCCACAAAACACCACAAAACTACAACCAATAGACCTCTGGAGAAACCCAATTGCAGTGGCGGTTTGGCTCCGGCCTCGATTGGAGCCCTAGGGGTCTCCCAGAATGGGGCAACAACAACAGCAACAAGGTTAATCTTTTCTCAATGATTTTGTCGACAATTTTTAGAGAGTGTTCTAACAGACGTAAACCCCGATATGATGAACAGTTCAATGGGTCACCTTTGCTTTTGTATAGCGAAACTGTCATGCTATAGTTCTAATCAGTCGGCATTGAGCAATTTCTCCACACTTCACGGCAAAGTTGTAGTAACGTTTGGATACCTGCAGTACCAGATGCTTTGATAATGTCATTTGTGAGTCCATCCTTCATAGTTTTCAGAGCTTCTGTAAGCTCCTCTACAGTGATGTCTGGAATCGGACCTTCTTACCACGGTATTTAAAATTTAGGTTCGTGGCAAAATTTGGGTTCATTTTGCATAGAGGTCAAACCAAATAACGTAAAATTTGGTATAAACCGTAAACACATTTAACAAAGGTTTTTTATACTAAAAAACTTGTAAACATTAAAATATTTTATTAAAAACAAAATACATTTCCTAAACACGTCTGTTAGAACATTCCCTGAAAATTGTCGAAAAAATCATTGTGAGATGATTAACGTCGTGCATCACAATCGATCAATCAATCAATCAATTTTCGTTTTGCGTCCAAAAACCCGGTTCCCCGAGGTAGGACGTTGTTTTCTTTGGCATCAACTTTTTGCGCCAAATTAGACGGTCAGTTGTATCCATTTCATTTAAATTTAGAGCTTTCATGTCTTGTTCGATTGTTTGCGATCAGGACTTTTTTGGACGGCCTTTTGGACGTGTGCCAGGTACTTCAACATCTGCAAGAGAAGTTATGGCACTGTTTCTACTTGGTTTGACATGACCAAACCACCGCAGACGGTGTTGCCGGCATTCGTCCTTTATATCATCTAAACCAGCACGACGCAGGATTTCGGTAGATTTGATATGGTCTTTCAGACTAATTCGTTGCATCCGTCGGAGCATTTTCATGTCGGTTCGTTGAAATTGTTGTTCCAGTTTGGTTGTCATTGGCCATGTTTCTGCACCATATAACAACACCGGACGTATCACAGGTTTATAAAGTCTTGATCGTAGTGGTAGTGGGATGTCACGCCGCATCAATATAGAGGCAGGGAGATGCCATTTATTTCAGGCTGCACGTATGCGTGCTCGAACGGCAGCTTCAGCTGTTCCAGTACAATCCAGAACATCCCCTAGATAAAGTACGCACCAAACCGATACGCACTGGTGACATTTGGAATCTAATATATGCTGATGATATCGTTTTAACAGCCACGTCTGAGCAGAATGCAGCACAGATATGTGAAGATTGGAACACCAGACTTGCCGATCATGGATTCAAAGTCAACATCAACAAAACCAAAGCAACTAACACTGGTGAACCCATCCAATCCACAGCTACTTGACGATGGCCCTGTTCAGTTTGTAAAGCTGGTGTAGGTAACAATTCAATCAAGTGTCAGCAGTGTAACCAGTGGTGTCACAAACGTTGTTCAAAAATAATTGGTACTTTATCTAAAGTGTCTAATTTTGTTTGTCCTGCTTGCATCAATCCACAACAACAAGTTCGAAATGGCAATGTTTTTGTAGCCATTAAGTAGAGAAAGTCACATCGTTTCAATATCTAGAGAATATTCTGGATTGTACTGAAACAGCTAAAACTGCCGTTCTAGCACGCATACGTGCAGCCTGGAATAACTGGCATCTCCTTGCCTCTATATTGATGCGGCGTGACATCCCACTACCACTACGATCATGAAAATGCTCCGATGGATGCAACGAATTAGTCTGAAGGACTATATCAAATCTACCGAAATCCTGCGTCGTGCTGGTTTAGATGATATAAAGGACAAATGCCGACAACATTGTCTGAGGTGGTTTGGTCATGTCAAACGAAGTGGAAACTGTGCCATAACTCATCTTGCAGATGTTGAAGTACCTGGCACCCGTCCCAAAGGCCGTCCAAAGAAGTCCTGGTCGCAAACAATCGAGCAAGACATGAAAGCTCTAAATTTAAGTGAAATGGATACAACTGACCGTCTTTTTTGGCGCAAAAGTTGATGGCAAAGAAAACAACGTCCTACCTAGGGAAACTGGGTCTCTGGACGCTAAACGAAGATTGATTGTTTGCGGTAACTAATATCGTGACTGACATCGCTTTCAACTCCTGGTGGAGATGGAGCGAGAATACAGCAATAAAAACTATTATGAATCTCGATGTTATTGGGAAACGACCAATGGGGCGTCCGAAGACAATACAGCTAACAACGACTTGAAAGCTGCTGGACTGGATGAAGCAGATGCCTTGAACAGAACGAGCAGGCAACACGGGCTACGTGTCCAATATCAGTAAGGGGACAAAGACGTTTAAACGACGATTTATTGATTTATATAAATCTTTGACATCACTAGACAATTTTTTAATTTGTTCTCTCACTCTGTCTTTATCAGTATCGGTATCTTGCAGATTAAGCCCAACTGTGTTATTTTCCCTCTCTTTTTTATCATTCACGATACTCCTCGCATTTACACACTTTTAACCACATCGTTAATTTTTTTGACCTTATAACGAGCAGTATCAGCAAAACTCTTGCTTGGATCACTTTTGGGGTGGAAAGTTCGACACTCAAACTTGTTTGTTCCAGGTCCATCTAATTTTTCCATTTACCATCATTGTTTTAAATCAAATTTTTAATAACTTCAAGTTTACTCTACAAAAAAATTTTTGTTGATTATAGTTAATGCACAAACTTCGTTAGTGGTTTAACATCAGGAAGCAACTTCGTGCAACCATTACAAAACCGCTTGAAATTTGGCATGCCGCTGATACAAAAAAGATTTTTTTTACTTATTCCGGCAGATTTTGGGTAGGAACCAGTTTGAAACTGAACACATTATACTGCATTTTTATCCTCTACAGTTCTAGGACATTTGTAATATTTATTTGACATAATTACTTCAATAAAAAGTTGTTGAGTTTATTTATATTATTATATTGAAGATAAGTTAACTTATATTGAAAATAAATTAATTAATAATAAAGAGGTTAGTGTTATTAAATTTGAAAACGTTTTATTTAAAATTTTTTGTGAAAAATAAAAACGTAAAATGACAGCATTGATAATACTAAAAATTTTAATTAATTTAATTTTCTCAGATGGCAGCAACAAAACGTATGAACAAAGAGCTTGTAACAAAATACAGCGATCTCCAGCTTAAAAGTTCTGATTTAATTGAAATACTTAGAGCACAATGTCTTTCAAGAGGTGCCGCTGGTATAAAAGGTCTTGCCAAGTAGGAGAATTAGTAATTTTATATTGAAAGAGATAGTGTTCCTAAATCGCGTATATAAAAGTTTCTAAACTTCTGTTCAATACGAGATTCTTTCAGTTTTAAATTCGTTTCAAATTACAGTATAATGAACTTTCTGCATGTGGAAAACCTTCATTAATACTTCTTATCCATTTTTTAAATTTTAAGTAATCTTCTCATTTGTCTGTAAATTTGTGATGTCTGACCTCTTCATTCGAAACATGGTTAATTAATAAAAATTTATTATACCTGGCTCGAATGCTGTCTGTCCGAAACTCTAAGATTAACATACGCCATGTGTTTGTGATGCGGTGCTTGCGCGTGCATATATAATGTGTATGTAGTCGTGTGGTGTGGAAAGCTCAGTCTTTGTGGCACAAAAAGTTTATGGTGTTCATGAGGACTTGAATGGCGCTACATAAACTTTCTATTGCTGTTCGAAAATTGTCTGATAGAACAATTTTGTCAATTAAATAACTTTGTGAAACTATTTATTGAACACATTTATCATTTTCTTTTATTGACTTTTTTATTTTGTTTTATTTTTCCAGAGTTTTTCAAATAATGGACGATAACGGAAATAAACGTTTAGATTTCAATGAATTTAAGAAAGGTTTGCATGATTATGGTGTGGACATTGCTAATGCCGATTGTTCTAAATTGTTTGAAATGTTCGACAAAGATCGTAATGGTAGTATTGATTTTGAAGAATTTCTTCAACTGTTGCGAGTGAGTTTTTTAAAAATAACTTTCTGGCATTGATTAAGCTGGTTATTGTTATTACAAGCCTCCTATGTCCATGAGCCGACGCAAAACGGTCATGGAGGCGTTTAGAAAGTTGGATAAAAATGGAAAAGGTTTCGTCATAGTTGAAGATTTGAAAAATTTATATTCAGTTAAAAAACACCCAAAATTTATAAGTGGAGAATGGAACGAAGAAAGATGTTTAAAAGAATTTCTTGAAAGTTTTGAATTGAACGGACATGATGAAAAAGTGGGAATTACATAACATTTTTACTAGTTTAAAATAATTAATTACACACTGTTACTAATAACTTGAAAATAAAGGTGACAGAAGAAGAGTTTATTAGTTACTATTCCGGAGTTAGTGCTTCGATTGATAATGACGCTTATTTTGATTTGATGATGAGAAAAGCTTGGAAGCTCTAAATAATATTTATATGCTACTTTCAATTTTTTTTATATACACAATTAAAAATTTTTATTTTGCCGTTTATGTTCAGACTATCTTCCAACTTGTAACGTGTCATGTTTGGTGTTATCAATCAATATTTTTATTTAATATTTCGGGCTTAGGCACTCGTTAATTCAAGCAATTTTTTAATTTTTTTTTTGAGATAAATATGTGATTAGTGGCGGGGTTGCCAAAAATTTGAAAATGTTCAAATTTTTACGAGGCGAGAGCCAAAATTTTTACGGAGGCCAAGGTCTGTGGTAATGTGGCTGACGACCTTTTTTACTTATAACGTTCAATTTTTGAATTTTGGGTCGATTTTGCACATAAAACGGTCTTTTTTCTGATTTTTATTAAAAAAAACTGCTCACAACGGAGGGCACCCCTAGATCCGCCAGTGGATGTGATCAGACCAAGATAATTATGTACATACTATACATGGACGATCAATTTATATATAAGTATATATATATATATATATATATAAGTGTATGTGTTAGAAATATATATATATTTATAATTAGGGTTTTAGGGTTAAAACGAAGATTGATTGAATTAGGGTAAAGACTGTCGCAGATACAATTGTTAAAAAATATCACTGTAATTTCAGCATTGATCAGTTTCTGGTTCCTTTTTTCAATAATTTTTATCGTATTTTTGTCATCGTTTTTAACTTATTTATATAGAAAACAGTTTTTAACTACTTTTTTATTCATTTTTATCTAATACAAAAAAAGCTTTTTTTCGGTAATCCTTTATCATTTTCATTGTAGTATATTATCAACTATTGGTTGTATCTTATATTTATTGGCTCCAATAAATTCACTTTGCGGTGATCCATTATTTCTGTTTATTAATAGTTTTTTTTGTCGGTAGTAAAGTTACAGCATTTTGTTGTATATTTATTACCGGGTTCTCTTTGTATATGTAAAGCGCTTCTGTAGTTTTAAGTTGAAAAGTATTCCTATTGCGATGCAGTATCTTTGCGTTATTGTTGAGTATCGTTCTGGTAATTGCTATTCCGTGATTAGCAATTAAATGATTTTTATTGCATCTTTTTGTGTGTGCATAGTTAATCTTTTTGTTAACGTATAAAATAAAAATGAATAAAAAATTAGTTAAATACATTATTATGTTAAATTTAGATGTAATCTCACTTCCCCCTGGTTTGACCGGGAGTGTTATATAGCAAAAAGAGAGTACTGAAAAAAAGAAAGAAAATATAGAAAGAGTTTGTTTTCCTGAACATTGTAATGAATGGGTTAATGCTTTGAGGTGTAAAACCAAATTGTTTTCAAAAAAACGAAACTGTTATTGGAAAAAAACAGAGGCGCAGCCAGGGAATTTAGCGCCCGGGGAAAAACTATAAAATTGGCGCCCTTCCCTCCATGTTTAATCACATTTTTTATTACATTAACATTGTAAAAATTACTGTTTTCAAAAACAATTCCAATTTTAATGGAACATTGTATTTGAAGATAAAACATAAATATACAAATTATAACATGATTCAGTCACTGTCAAAGATAACTTACATAGTTTGCAATAGATTTATTTTTCTAGATTTCATTTAAACTCTAATTCCTTACTACCTGTATCTCAATCTGGTTTCAGACCTTCTCACAGTACTGAAACATCTTTACTCAAAGTACATAATGATATCTTTCTCTCTAGTGACAATAGTAATCTTACTCTTCTTGCTCTTGAATTTCTCTCTGCTTTTGATACTGTTGATCATACTATTCTTTTGAGGCTGCTAGATCTTTCTTTTAATATTACTGATTCTTGTCTATCTTGGTTTTCTTTTTATCTCTGTAATCGTTTTTCTTCTGTTGTTCTCAATAATTCTACTTCTAACTCCTCTACTCTTACTTTCGGGGTGCCTCAGGGTTCTATCCTTGGCCCTCTTCTATTTATACTCTATACATCTGAACTACCTCGTATTATTAATAATTTATCTTTCTCTAGTCAACTATATGCTGATGATTCTTACATTTATACTTCTTTTCCTCCATCTAATCTCAATAGTGTTCTTCATAATTTATCTCTGTCTTTCTTCAATTATCGCTTGGTTTGACTCTACGTGTCTTAGACTTAATCCTTCTAAATTTGAATTAATGTTTTAATAAATCTAAACACTCCATTAGTAATTTTCATATTATCTTACCTGATTCTAAATCTCTTGATGTTACTTACAAGTTTCGTAGTCTAGGCTTTGTCTTTGATTAGAATTAATTTCCTCAGATTAATGGTGTTGCTAAAAGTTCTTACTTTTATCTAAGTAGAATAAAAAATGTTTTGCCTTATCTTGACGATCCTACACTTCTCCTTCTTGTTACTTCGTTAGTCTTATCTAGGATTGATTATTGTACTCGCTCTACTATGGTCTTCCTGATTCTACACTCTATCCTTTAAGTAAAGCTTTCAACTCTGCTGCTCGTCTAGTTGCTCGTGCCCTTTTCTTTTCTCATATATCTCCATATCTTGTTCTATTGCACTGGCTACCTAAAAAATATAGAATTTTTAAAATTTGCACATTTATGTATAAGTCTCAATCTAAATTATTTCCTAAATACTTATCAGATATATTAATTGAACCTGATCGATCGTCTTCTTGTTTTCACTTCTTCTTAACTCGTGTTAAACACTCCTTTGCTAAATCTGCTTTTGCTTTTTCTGGCCCTTTTCTCTGGAACTCTCTACCTACTTCTCTGACCAGTTTTCCATCACTTACGAAGTTCAGTTCAGAGCAGATCTCAAGACCCATTTGTTTGCAAAATTCATTGAGGAGCACTGCTGAACATCGTGGCAATAGGGCTTTATAGGGCTAACTGATTGATTGTCATAAACTAATCAATTATGTTATTCAAATTTGTCATTTCTATTGTTTCTCTTTCAACACTGAGAAGAGCTAGATCACTGAGATGATCTTGTCCCAATGATGCACTCAGATAGTATAAAATAAGTTTCAATTTGCTGAATGATCGCTGACAGCTTGCAATTGAAACTGCTACTGTCAATAAAATTTGTAGCAAAATTAGCAGATTCGGAAATACGTCATTTCCATAAAACACAATGACTTTTTGGTAGAGCTTCAGTTCGGTTACTGATCAAGCATTCTGCAATCACTAATTTTAACGAAAAAGTTCGTAGCCATCAGAGATGGGCAGTAATGTAATTCAAGTAACGAAATTACGTAATTCAAATTACAATTGTAATTTGTATCGAAATTACTTTTTAAGTAATTGGTAATTTAGTAATTTCATCTTTCATGTAATTTGGTAATTTCAAAATACATTTTGACTAAAAAATACAGTTTATATGTAAGTGAACAGATATAATACTTACACAAATTATTATTATTGTTTTTATTGAAATTTTTTTCTTGAAATTCTAAATTTTTTTTTAAATTCTAAAAATTTATTTGATTAAAAATTTCATTTGCTACTTTGAAGTTTTATGGTCATATAGCAACATCAAAGAAGTTTAATTCTTTGATGTTTGATGCTTCTTTTTTTCTTTCTTTCTTTCTTACCTTCTTTTTTTCTATCCTTTTTTCTTCAGCCGTTCATTAAACAATTGAACAAATTGTTGATCGAAAGAAAGTAAATTAATAAAATAATATGAAAATGACATCAAAGAATATGCAAAATCAAAAGTAGTGGTGAATAGTGTCTTTCTTCAGTCATTCGTTAAATGATTGAACAAATTATTGATAGAAAGAAGGTAACTTAATAAATGAACATAAAAATGACATCAAAGAATATCAGCGCAAAGAAAAATCAATGTTTAAATAACTTCAAAAAAATTTTTTTCTTCATTCAAAACTGGTTTGATGTAATTTAATTTCAATTTTTTGGCTCTTTTATTAAATGTAATTTGTAATTGGTATCGAAATTACAATATTTAGAGTATTTTGTATCGAAATTAGTGTGTAATTTGCCCATCTCTGGTAGCCATTGATGTCCGGTACAATTTGGACGAATTGCATCTTCATCTGTGGCAGATAGAAGAATCTTAACGTCCAGCAAAAATTCAAATTTAATTTTTGTTAAATAAATAATTTTTTTTCATTTTTTTTGCCTGTGATAAGATTTTTACTCTTGAGAAAATTTTGTCAGCCTCACTTTGGCGCCCGGGGACATATGTACCCGCTCGCCCCCCCTACGCCTCTGACCTAGGATGAGTGTAATAGATCTTTAACGAACCCTTTTTCTTCCCTAATAAACCAGATTTCCAACTATTTTGTCATTATAGCCTAAGCTAAGCCATTACATTGTAATCAACCTTAAGTATATATTATAATTCGTTGGAAAATGGATAATACCCGTTAATTAAATTTTGTTTTTATAGCTAAGCACCAATAATAAAAAAATTATTTATACTCAGTTTAAAAACTATATTTTTCTCATTTTTGGAAAATTTAGTTACACGTGCATAGCAAGGAGTATACTCAAATTAATATTATTTATCAAAGGCATGCCGAAATATTTTCGTAAAGTATTTTATGAATTGAAAAACATAAATTAAAGAGAGAAAAAAAGAAATATTGAGTCAAATGAGTAAAAAGTAAAAACTAAATAAATTTGAAACATTTTTGTTTGTTGTGTGGTATACGGGTTTTAAATAAAATTGAATCAGCTCTGTATTGAGTTGTTAATAAAGGCAGATATCCATATACTTTCGTAAAAAATTGGATGCACTGGTGACGTTCAGCAAAATGAGACTCATCCGCATACAATGTATTTGGGCAGTCAAGACATTTGAATGTCCACCTGGAAGTGACCTGGAATAATTGTATTAGTTATATTCAAATATAACAAAACAAATAAAATCAACATAAAAAATTAAGCATAAAAAGACTTTTAGAACCGTTTTTTAAAGTTAAATACCGGCCATAATGTGGTGTTATGAAGGCAAACTTGAGACAATTTTTAATACATTTTATAGTAGATACTGAAAATTTATAATTTTCAATTGTTTTTGATCCAAATTAGGCCTAATCGGACCAGATTTTCACGCAAAGTTATGTAGCTAATCACACTCGGCAATTTACACTTCAATGACAATCAAATTGGTGCCAATGTCCCACAAAGTTCTGTAATTTTTTTAAATACTATGAGGTAACTCTTCCTGTTAATTTCAAGACAATAAAACTGTCATTGCGCTAACAACCTAAACTTTCGTATTGTTACAACTTTTTCAAATCTAGTTCCATAAATTTAAACTGATAAGCTCATTCGCACTAATCAACAAATTTTCAATAATCCAAACTCTAACAATGCAGAATCCAAGCTTATGAATTGTATCAAATTGCTTAGCATTTTCACTTTTAGTAAACGCCTAAGATTTGACACGTTTTATATTATCAATAATGCATGCAATCAAAAATAATTGGTATTGGTTATTTACAAAGAGTCCCTTTATGTTGAACTCAGAGGCACTGTTTGAGATGATTGCGAGCAAAATAGTGACGTTTTAATTTCTTTGCAAACATTTCTCTTTCCTCCACATTTTAAGCATTAATTTAATGATGGTAATGATAATGAAGTCATCTACAAACTCTGAGCAGTGACAGTAATAGCAATGAAATAATATTGTTGTAAGTTGCCCCTTCGCCAAGTCATTCGATCCTCCGTAGGTTCACTGATTTCTGATAAATACAACTGTTTCAAACACAGAATTGTTTAAACTTTTTTTTTAATGCCAATAGTAATAGAACTAATGAATCATTGACTAATCCAAGAAATACGCTCGATGTCGCACGATCGCCAATAATTCACAGCACAACTCTACAATTCAAAACTCCAACCTGTCTAATTTAACCTTAACTGATATCTGGTTCTAGGAATTATTAATGCAAACATAGAATTATAGAATCAAAATAATAATTAATTGAAATTAATTATATAACTGTCACGGTTATTGCTTGTGTAAAAGAATATTTTTTTTAGTTGTGCGCTATGGCATTTTTTTTTTGGTTTGGGCATGCCTAGGCGCTTGGACAACAGCAAGCGATATGGAGAGTGTGGCATGTTTTAGGAATAAGATAGAGTAGATATGTTTAATTGAACTGAACGATTATGGTTAATTGTTTCTGGTGTTTTGAATTGAACGTTATAATATTAATTTGATGTTAACATTTGATTTATGACATTATATAAAAGTATCTTTTATTGATTTTGAGTTTGTATTTCAAAAGAAGTTTGAAATTAACCCGTCTCGTAGTTTGAATTATTGATTTCGTAAAAAAAACCTGACATCTGGCGCAGTCGACAGGATATTAAACAGAACTTTGCGTGATATAATAATCTCGGGCAAAAGTTCGTGACATTTTTAGTGGCAGCAGTGGAATATATTGCCTCGGTGGTTAATCAGTGGATTCTGATTACCGGGAAATATCCAGTAACAACCAGGTAGTTCAGGGAGTAATTGCTGGTTGAAGTTTTACGTCGACGGATTTTTGTCGGTATATTGGTGGATTCCGATTACCGACGGAGATTTTATATCAACATAGATGGCGCTTGGTTGGAGTTTGATATCGAATTATTATGGGAAAAGATATACGTCCTACCTCGGGAAACCGGGTCTCTGGACGCAAAACGAGGATTGATTGATTGATTGAGGGGAAAAGATATAACAGCAGAGATAAAAAAAAATGTCGACCGAACAGTTGATTAAGAAGATAATCAAGTTCGGAGTAGATGAAATGGAGGCACAATCGATGTCTAAGCAAGAATTAATCGATCGATATATTGCCAACGAACCTTTAGAAGCAGAAGAAAATCCAGAGGAAAATACTTTAGAAGAGCCTCAGAATCCTATCGAATTTGAGAAATGGAAATTTCTCAGCGAGTTGAAATTGAAGCAGCAAGAATTAAATTTACGAGAAAAAAAGATGGAGAAAAAAATAAAGAACACGAACGAGAATGTAAATTACGAGAAAGGGAGATGGAGAGAAAGGCTGAAGAATTTAAATATCAAATGAAGATAAAGGAGGAAGAACTTGCGATAAGACGGAAAAGCTTTAACCTACAGAATGAACAAGAACGATCGCGATTGAATGAGAGAGATTCAATGTTAAATCGCATTAAAACATTTAGCGACTCAATGAAAAATGTGATGGGGAAATGGCCGCCGGAACCCAGCGAATTAACAAATTTTTTTGAAAATCTAGTAAACCAATTTGGTGTTGATGAAGATATAAAAGCCAAGTTACTTCAGATGTGTCTACATGATAAGGCTAAATCTTTTATATCTCGGTTAACAGTTTAACAACTTAGTAACTATAACACGTTGAAGAAATTTTTGGTGAACGAGTTCAGAGTGAGCCCAGTCAGGTTAAGAGAACAATTTTTTAACATCAGGAAATTGCCTAATGAAACATACCAGCTCCTATTGTCAAAGTTGAAAAACACATGGATATATTATTTAAAAAGCATGAATGTTGAAGGAAATTTTGATAGATTATTGAGTTTATTGATGGCTGATAGAATGAAGGAATTACTACCCAGAGGATGTTTAAATTTTATTCTCAGTCAAGAACAAGAGAATTGGTTGGACTGTGATAAATTGGCTCGAGCAGCTGATAATTATGATGGCAACATATGAAAGCACCAAACCCCATCGTAGGGAAATGGAATTAAATGTTGGTGTTAAAGAAGAGTATAACGACAAGCGCTATTATAAACAAAAACAAAGAGGAAGCTATGGAGAAGGGACTATGTTTCAGATGTCAAAAACCAGGTCATGTAGCGAAAAACTGTACTCAGCCGGTAAAGATTCAAAGAAATTCAGTATATCACGAATCAGAAATAAAGGAAGATGAATTTCTGTTTACAGAAAGATCAGCGAATATCGAAAAGGAAAAATTGTATCGAAGGAAGTTTGTTGATATATATGTCGATGGAATAAGAATACCGAAGGCACTTGTCGATGGAGGGGCATAGATTAGTTGTATCCATCCAAGGTTTATCGATTGGTCAAGAGTAATTGTGCAAGGCAAGATTTCTGTTCTGGGACTTCAAGGAAAAGCAAATATTGTAGATGTAGCAAAATTAGAAGTGCAACCTAAAATGAAAGGTTCTGAATGGATGATAAATATTGCCCCTAGAGTAACAGTTTGGTTTGCAGTAGTGCCGGACCTGAACGAAAATTTGATCATAACACCAGATGTAGTAAACTTGCTGAAAGAAATACAAAATTGTTCAGTACTTTCAAAGGAAGACGTTTTAGACACATCGAATGCAATAGGTTTAAACATTAATGCCGAAACGAAAATTAGAACTGATAAACTCGAAAAAGATGGAAACGATCACAACGTAGGCGAAGATTGCGAACGTGAGGTATGTAGAAATGATTGTGATGATGGCGTTGATAAATATGAATATGATCTTAGAAAAGTGAATGAATTTGATGACGATACGCAACGTGAAGACGACAACAACGATGATGATAATCCTAGTAATAGTGTTAGATATTACCATAACATTAGTGTTGGTAGTGTTAGTAGCGATAGATTAGCTGATGATATAAGTAATAACGATAGTAATTCAAGCCAGAGTATATTAAAAAGAGTCGGAAATGTTGCTGTAACCAACGTTGACGATGATGATGATAACCGATGTCTAGATATAGAACATGTGGTTCGACTGACTGACAACGACGATGAAAAAGAGAGATCGGCAAGCTCCGAAGAATTATCAAAGGAACAATTAAACTGTCCGTTTTTGATCAAATGCTGGTCGTGGGCAAAGGAAGGTAGAAAGAATTTTTTATCAAAATCACATCCTTTACCATCAGGACAAATTGCTGGGGCATAAAATAATTCAGTTGTGTCTGCCGGACAGTAGGATCTCAACAGTTTTGGAGATGGGACATGACGCGCCCTTCGCAGGCCATATGGCAGTTAAAAACACAAGGTATCGCATTAAACTCAATTTTTGGTTTCCAGAAATGGATAAAAAATCAAGAAATATTGTCAGTCGTGTTCGATTTGTCAGTTGCGGGCACCAATCAAAATAGCGCACACGGTTCCTATCACACCCATACCAAGAGATGAAGAATTGCCATTTACACATTTAATAATGGACTGTATTGGGCCTATATTTCCACCAGATGAGAAAAAGCGCAGGGCAACGGATATGGATAGACGATGCTAAATTGGAGATAAGGTCGCCGTATTAACCACAAATCCTAGTGAAGCAAAATCATGCAACCGCTAGCGAGGCCCAGGAGTAATTGTAAAAATAAAGTCTCCATAGTTGAAATTGATGAAAAACAACACCTTCATGCGAATAAAATTAAAGGCTATCATGAAAGAATCCAGCAAGCCTTGGTAACTAGTTGCTCCATTGTAAGAGAAAAGGACGCAGGCGAAATAAAAACATTCGAAAACACGAGTTCAAATGATAGCAATTTAAATAACGTTACAAAATTAGGTCATTTATCCACGAATCATCAAGTAAACGAAATTAGCAAGGTAATAAAATCTCATCGACGGGCTTTTTGTGATCAACCAGGAAAATGTAACATCACTGAACACGAAATTATCTTGCTACTTGGATTTAAACCAAAACAAATGAGACCGTACAAAATACCTGAGTTGCTGAAGCAATCTGTAAAAACTCAAATTCTAAAAATGCTGGAAAATGGAATTATTGTACCATCAAAAAGCGAGATGGTTAGCCCTATGGTCTGCGTTCTAAAGAACTCAGGGAGACTGGCCATAGATTATCGATATTTAAATAAACTTTCCGTTGCAGACTGTTTCCCAAATTCAGATATTTCTGATATACTGCAACAAGTTAGGAAGGCTAAATATATAAGTTGTTTCGATGCAAAGGTTGGTTATTGGCAGATACCTATGAATCCGGAATCACAGTGGTCTACCGCCTTCGTTTGTGAAGAGGACGTGTTCGAATTCACACGAATGCCATTCGGGCTTAAATCCGCATGTAACACGTTTGTACGAGGGATAAAATACATACTCAGGAACATGAGAGAATTTGCAGAACCATTCATAGATGACGTCACAATATTTTCAGATAAATGGGAGGATCACGTCCGCCATTTGGATCAATTTTTGGGTGAAATTCGGAAAGTGGAGTTAACGTTAAATATAACAAAAACCACGTTTGCTCAGAGTAAGGTAAAATTTGTTGGACACATTATCGGGTCAGGACTTATAGAAACAGACCGAAGCAAGTTAGAAGGGCTAGAAAAAATTAAACCACCAACCACAAAAAAGGACCTCAGGAAGATGATTGGATTCTTCAGCTACTTTCGCAGTTTCCTCCCGATGTTGGCGGAGACGATGAATGTTATCACCGATCTCACCCGTAAAAACGCGCCAAGTAGGGTTCAATGGGGAAGTATGCAGCAAAAAGCATAATTAAGCAACAATTGATGAGTGTCACAGCTTTGAACACGATCGATTATTCAAAAGAATTTGGTGTATATGTGGACGCTAGTGCAGAAGCGGTAGAAGGTTGTCTAGTACAATGGTCGGATAGTCGAAAGGAGTTACCTATCGCCTTTGCTAGCAAAAAATTATCATAAACTCAGACAAGATGGGTGGTATCTAAACTCCATATTGAACTCTTGCAAGGATAATACCCATATCTTGTCAATTTTGCGCTTTTTGGTGCTGCTTCTGTCCGGTATTTTAATGGATTGTGGTCTGAAAACACAATTATTTTGGACAAACAGATCCACGGTCGAAACTTCTCTAGCATCCAAGTGACGGCATTGTTTCTGGTGTTTTGAATTGAGCGTTATAATATTAATTTGATGTTAACATTTGATTTATGACATTATATAAAAGTATCTTTTATTGATTTTGAGTTTGTATTTCAAAAGAAGTTTGAAATTAACCCGTCTCAAAGTTTGAATTATTGATTTCGTAAAAAAAAAAACCTTACATCTGGCGCAGTCGACAGGATATTAAACAGAACTTTGCGTGATCATTATATGATATAATAATCTCGGGTAAAAGTCCGTGACAATAACGCAATTTGAAAAACAGCATTTCGACTAATGCAACAGCTATAACAATAATAATTATAATTATTATAACTGTCGTGGTAGGCTCAAACTGAACTATGGCCATTTATGGCTGTAAGTACCAGTGTCCGTATTGTATGTATGATTGGTGGCCACTGAATATTTGGATACAGGTCCACTTTAACTGTTATCAAGATATGAACGATAAACTAAAGCATGAGTTGTGAAAAGTAATGGGATTGGAGTTGTGGATTATGGAGTTGCGCTGTGTATTATTGGCGATCGTAGAAAATCGAGCGTATTTCTGGGATTAATGTTTCTATTACCTTTGGCATTCAAATAAATGTTTAAATAAGTCTATATTTGTGGCAGTTGAGTTTATCTATCGGAAATCAGTGAGCCTAAGGAGGATCGAATATCTTGATGATCGTGCAAGTTACAACACCGGTGTCAAAAGTGGGATTTTTATGCAATAAAAAATACCGGTACTTGAAAAACTCGATACAATTAGTCTGAGAAGGTACTACAGAAACGAAATTTTGACTCAGTTTAAAAAAAACGCATAAGGGACGCTCTGATAAACGACGGTAACGATCCTGATGAGTTCGACTTTTTGAATCCTGTGAAACATAATGAATGATCAACACAAAGTGAATGAAAAAAAATGATTAAAAATATAATATAAAAAATGTTACACCCACCAATCCTAATCCGAAAATTAAGCTATTAATCTACTATAAAAACAGAAAAACTTCAAACCTAATAATAAAAAATACAAACAACTCTACAAAAAACGCATGTCATATACCAATACAAACGCCAAATTGAAGGCTGTAACCTTCAAACATACATTGAGTGATCATTACGACATTGTAACCTTAACAACGGACGACCAGCAATCCACACGGAATAGACCCATAAAAGGAAAATAATAAGAAATGACTTTGTTACAAGTACAAAGATTATAGACAGTGCCAACAACCCAGGGAGACTCATGATCTTGGACAAAGAGCCTACCATAAACAAGCAAAAAAAGTCATTAACTGGCCAGCCCTTCCAAACGGTTAATAAAAAATTAATAAGAAATCTTAAAGAAGTATGAAAAAATTGAATAACGTTATCTCAGCGATCGATTTCAATAAAATATGTTTACAAGAAGAACTACCAACCTCAATATTATATATATGTATATATATATATATATTAGGAAGAAGACCAAGTTCTATACAGTTGTTCAAAAAATCCACCGACGATTCAGCATTAACAAG